GGCCCCGTCTTGCACTTCTATTCGTTTTAGGGAATGCCATGTTATAGAGCAAGCTGCTCTCATTCCGCTTGATTAAGGCAATCTGGAAAGCAAAAAGGAAAAGATGAGAAGGGGAATCAGAACGGGAAACCTAGGAGCCACAGAGAGGCATGCTTACAGAGCTGCCTGGATTGAAGAGCTGGAGCCAGAAAATCTGAGGACCAGGAAGAGCAGAGAGCTAACGGCCTGGATAAGAGAGAAAAGGCTTACTTCTGACATACCTACTTCCTATATGGAATAATCAGTCTAGAGATAGATAGTGAAAAAAGAACTCTTACTAGAGAAACTAGGATGCTTATAGTGAGGAGAGCAGAAGAAAACTCCAGGAAGAATTTTAACTCTCTTTGTGTGCTGCATGACAGACTGGCACAGACACAGAGAAGGTAAAGAAAGAAAAACTATTCATTCCTTCTCTTAAGATAAGAACTAGTGACATAAATTAAATAATCAAGTAGAACTTTTAAAGCAAACAAAAGTTCTTTCTCATGCAATACATAACTAATCAGAGGAGGTTCTTTGCTCCAGGTTGTTGAGAAGATCGAACACATAAATAGATTCAAAAATCAATTAGAAAATTGCATGGCAGAAAATTCCACTGGAGCTTATTAAATATAAAGCTACGTATTCCACTTCCAGTTCAGTGTGCCTTATACTTCAGGCTGCCAGAAACTGGGAGAGTCTGCCTGGGGGAGTATCACTTTACACAAAAGCTTTACACTTTGCACAAAATACACAATTTTTAATGCTTTCTTTCTTGGTTGTTGCCAGAAATAGAATGTTAGACTAAACAGGTCTTTGATCTCTCCTTTTTATACACTTTTTATATGGTATTAGTGAAAAAATAAAAGATAGGGTTTTAGATGTTATGAGGACAGAAAACAGAGATAGCATCTCTGTTACGCTCTGTCCTCCAGGAAGGGGAACCCCGGAGAACTTCACTCTCTACATAGGCTACTTACAAGAACGTCTAAATGCGTATGATAAATTTTTACAGAACCTAATTCACAAATCTAATTTTATTCCCAGTTAACCCTCTAATCTAATCCAACAAAAGAGCTGATGGTAGTTTTCTTTTGCATTTGTTCCTGCTAAAAGACAGAAGATAGTAGGCAATTCAAAAATAAAACAAAGGGAAAAATTTGGAGTCTTTCTGCTATTTCTAAACATTTTGCTCTTTATCTGCATGAATGTTTGAATTCTATTTCACGTTAAATATCTGTGGATATTTATGTGTATTTATGTGACTTGAAGTAATACTAATATTGGCCACGAGAGGGCAATACTGCAAGCTAAATTTCACAGTGTCCTTAGTCTAAGCCAGATCTTCAGGTCATGTTAAAAAACTTATTTCCTGGACAGGTCCTGGCCTGGTTTTGTTGATGCAATTTTTCAAATTCATACTACACAAGAGAGAGAATTTCAGTGACAGTCATAGCGACTTATACCATAGCATGCTTAAACAATAGCAAACAGCTTTAATTGAATATGTTCACTTTACTGCATGATTTGAAAATCATTTAAGAGCATATTTTCAGCTAGGGACATCTAGGGTGATGCAAGAACACCAGTCAAGGATTTTAAACCCAAGATGCACCTGATGATCTATTCTGGATGAACAAATGGACAATGAGCCAGAGCAGGGGCAGTGCAAAGCTGTCTGCAGCACAGAGACTCTCCCCAGGTGATGCAGGACATGGAAAACTAGAAGTCTATGAAATTGTGTTCCTCTGTTAAGAACTGGGAACAGGCTGGGAAAGGTTAATGGCTAGGCAACGGAGATGAGTACTTCATAGCCTGTCAAACTTTGAGATAATTAATTAGAAATGAATGTTTCACACATGAGCTTCTATCAAACGTAAGATCATTCAGGGTTCAGGCTTCTGCTCAATACACATGCATAACGTCCATTTATATGAAGGGAGTTATTGCTCACATTTATTGAGACCTAGCCCTTAAATTGTACCATATGCAACTGTTTACCTAGAAAGCCTTTATTTTATTATTAATTTTTCAAAGGACAAATGGTCTAAAATAAGGCTATCCAAATTTATTCAAGGAAATAAGGCCATTATACAAGTCTCATATCAAAATATTTGTGTGGCAGAAAGCTATTCTGTCCCCTGCCTTTCCTGCATCGTCACAATCAGGGCCCAAATCCGGAGCTGCACTTTTGCCACCACTTGACCACACACAAAATCCTCATGCCAGCCTAGAAATCAGCTTCTTTTCTTAGCTTGCTTTCTGAACACAGACACTAAAATCTGTATAATCCAGAGAAAACTTCAGCAGCTGGTAAGCAAGCTGCACTTGAAGTCTTCCTGAATTGCCATTTAGCCAATGCTTATTCAAAAGTCATTGGGAAGTCCTGTCCCTATGATTAGGATAAGTAAAGTTAAGTTGCAAAAATCATTCACAATAATTTACTAAAAAAGGAAGCAGCGGAGTACTGCAGTATTATTTAATTATTTAAAACGTCTATTTTTTCTTTACACCGTTTCTCTAAATCATTGGGGATCTTCTGATACACCTCTATCTTTTTAAAAATCTCACCTTCATATTCACCACATTCTGGTTACTTCTAGCAACCACAAAGGCTTTTTTTGTGCGTAGGAGATCAAACTTTACACTTAACATACTGAGTTTGTGACAGTAAAGTTGTAACCAAAGTCAACCACAACTGTGGATCAATTTCTTATTGATAATGGTTTAATTATACTGGTATGAGAAAATTTGCTGATCAGAGGTTCCTATACACTGAACAGGTCTCTGAATTATTTTGCAACATTACTGAAGGCAGCATATCTGTGATGGCAATATAGCAGGTGAAAATTATTCTCATCTGTTCATTTTAAAAGATTAATTCAGTCAGCTACTCTAGAGAAAAATGCATCACCAGTAAATTTTTCAAGACCAAAGTCTCCTCTGGAGGCATGTTCAGTTCCCCATGACACTAATAGGCCACTGTCAATCAGTGCAAGAACAAGTCTTAGAGATCCTTTCTGTCTTTATTAACCATTGACAGGTTAGAGCTTCATAACGTAATGAACAATTTTCCTTCCTTCACACTAGAGTTGACAGAAATTGAATGCTTATAAACATAATGGATCTGATTTAATTCAAACCTCCTCACAAGTAACATCTGACTGAGAATATCTTTTCTAGCACCTCCTGCCTGATGCCTCTGCACCAAGTGCAGAAGCCTCAATATGATTTTCCCAGTAGGGCTATCAGTAAATTCCGACTGCTAGATTACTGACTATCTCACTTCTCCTATCCTGACTTCTTCTAAGATCTTTATAGGGTGCACAGTTTATGCTTAGAGACAGCCTTACACATCCTGTTCTCCATCATTTTGTTAATATATATTTAAATCTATACATCACTACAAACATACTTTCTCTGGTGCCTAATTTTTGTGTGATTCTTTCCATTTTGACAAGTCTGCCTAAGCTGTGGAAGTTACAATAGCACAGAAGCAGTAACTAGATTGAAACTACTGTATATGTGCTGCTGCTTCAATCTATCACTTTTATCACTTCTTCATCTGCCAGAGTGCTCTGTAAATGGTAGCTGGCATCCCTTTCAGCAGACTGCTCTCAGAAGGGATTATTTTCCAGTGCTATATCACGTTTGCTAATGACTATTCACCTTTAAAGTGTTCCTACTTCAGAAACGATAGTGATGCTGCTGGACATTGTGGTATTTTAATAAACATAAACCAAAACTGAAATCCAAGCTTTCGAAGTGGGGAAGTGGCCTTCCTAAGGGTAATAGAGGAATTGCAAAATAGTATGTCTCTGTGGACTTCCATAGCTTCTGAAGAGGGAAAGAAATGGATGCAGGCTCATCTCCCTTAATTTTGGCCATCTACAATGTAGGCACCTTCTCTAAGGTGGTCATAGCCCTGGGAAGGGAGCAGGTATTTTTAGCAGAAAATTAATCTCATTGTAAAATTAGTGTTTAAATTCGGTGGGATGATTTGCTCTCTAGAGATGTCTGTTTCTCCAATAACCAGAATTAGAGGGTAGATAATTAGCTTAGACTAGGCACTTTTTTAAATAGCTCAAATTGCAGAACACTACAAGGGCTGGCACCATCAAAAGAGTCCTGACAGTGATATCACAACATTCACCCTTATTTGAAGCCAAGACCAGCTCTTAGCCCAAGAAGCTTATATGGGACCCATCTTCAGGTGCCACAGCAGAACTTCTGTTGAGCTACGTGACCTTGAGAAATCACCTCTACTTTGTGATCTTATTCCTTCAAAAGGAAAGAAGAAGCCACAGAACTGTAGTTCCTTCATGAAGAGCTGCCATGCTGCAAGCACACTTAGCTGCTGAAAGATCAAACGACTGGTAAAGTACACTTGGTAGTCTGTAGTACCGCTGAGCAAATTAGAGAGAAAGGAGTCTCTCCAGCCACTTGGAGATGTCCAGAGTTAATCCAATTAAAGCAGCTGTGAAACATCCATCTTCATAAAACCTAGAGACCATGGGAAGCCAATCCTCTCCCTGGTATACTTCCTTCCTCTTATTTGGAAGTGCCCTGACCCTCTTCGATTCTGTTTTACTGCACCTAAAAAAAAAAAATCTAAACAAACCATTTTGAATATTTACTTTCCTTTTTTACAACACTGTCAACGCTTGGGCATTACAGGACGGCAGCTTTAGAGAAAACTCCAACCTTGCAACTGCTGTCAAAGGTCAGCGACAGAAATTGGCATTTAAGCAATCAAACCCCGGGGTCCTTCATAACCCTCATTGTGTAAGCTGGCTCTTCCCTCTTTTGTGAACTAAACCCCACCCTTTCTGAGAAATGAAAGCTGTACCTGAGGAGAATATTCACTGTCAGCTGGAGACTGCAAATAAGGAAGGGGGGAAAGTGAAGAACCATATCATCTGGTTTTTTGTCTCCACACTTTGCCTGAAAGAGTGGAACAATTAGGAAACAAAGTGTTTTACCTTTACAGAAAAGTGCTTCTTCTTGGGTGGATGCCAGATAGTACCAGCTGAATGCATGAATGCTCGTAAAGGTGTTAAAGATGTGACTAGCACATATGCTTTGATGATGACAGAAAGGTCTTGAGCTTTAAGCATGTCCTTGTGGTCTCGAGGAATTGATAGTTGATTCCTGGAAAGTAATAATAATTACACATAGCATCATGGAAGTGCTGTTGCACATCTGTCAAAAAGAAAATGAGCTATAAGAATATAGAAATTAGAGAAGAAAATAATTGCCTTTTTTCCCCAGTTAAGTAACACAACAGATGAAACCAAGCAAGCTGGAAGAACACTTTACATCAAGTCTTTTTCACGCTTTCAGTACTTTTCAATCTTAACTTCCAGACATAGAAAGTAACTATGTTAGAAAGGAGTTATGGCTGAGAGGACATAAGGGTAAATGCATTGTGGGCATGTTGTAATTCTTGCAAAAGCAATCATTACTAGCCCAGGACATTCAGAGTGGAGGCTAAAATATTAAAGAAATTCAAGAAGCTGAAGTAACAGAGCTGCGTAATCAAAGTATCCAAAATTAGCACTGATCTGTGGTGATGTCAGAAAAAAAAATCTATGAAAAGATTGCATTATGATAAGCACTGTCTTCAGTTTAATAGAGGGCCACTAACATGTGGGTACTGAATGCTTTCAGGGAGGAAAGTCTCAAGCTATGACTCCAAATATTATGATAAATTATGACTAGGAAAAGCACTTAATAAATCAGCTAATCATAAAAGAATTATCCAAGCTAACTTTCATTTGGGAGTAACATGGCTGTCTAGATATAGGCCTAGTGCTCGCATAGCGTGCGCAAAAAGAATCAGCTATAGACGGGGCAGGGGGAAGGAAAAACCTATTAAAAACCTATAGCTTATTATTTGGGGAAATTTGAGCTACGCTTGGGTATATTGACAAATTAGGTTATTATTCTCTCTGTTAAGAACTCCAAATATCAATGTACCTCATAACAAATGAAATAAGAGAATGAGTATACAAATGATGGGTCTCTAAGACTGTGATTAGTGGTAAAAGACACAGGAATCTTGTGCTCTCCGTCCATGTTTGTGTAATCTTTGGCAAGATGTAGCCTTTCCAGGCCTCAGTTCTGCCATCTGTTAAGTGAGTTTAATAACATCCATCTTAAAGAGATTTTTTTCTTTCCCCTGAAAAATGGTAGGGCCCCAGACCAGAAAATTTATGTAATACTGTAATAGAAGAAGCAGTATTTGGACAGCCCGTTCTCATATACTTCTTAGGGCCTCACTTAATGGAAGGTCTCTCTGCAAAGGAATATGTGTCTGTGGTAGGAGTAAGGTAGGATAGGAACAGGAAATGACTCAGCCAGCAGGAGACCTAAACATTCAAGGGCGTCCATGGACCTGTATTTATATACTAGGTAGATAAGGTTTTTAAATGCCCTCAGCAAAAGAGCTTAGGTGTTCATGCACAAAGCATGTACAAGCTTGGCTATTACAAAAACAAAAAGTATAAAAGATATGATGCATGCAAGTGCTTCTTCTGCTCGAGTCTACGTTCTGCTTCCCTGACTCTTAACAAAATGCGTTATGAAACACAAACAGTCCATGATAGAGTAGTATCATATCTTACAGCTGTGCACTATTGGTCTGGTTCCACAAGTACCACGGATGGGCAGCATGTGTCTTTTCACTGCTTTTCCAACTCTGAGACATGTTGCTTGCAGTGCTGGCCTTTGAGAGCCCAGGCTGACCAGAGCATTCTGGGGTGGCAACTGGGAGGTGCAATTCTGAAAAGGTTCCAAGGGAATAGAAAAGAAATTCAGTAGGGCATCCAAAGGAGAGGGAATCTCTTGCAAGAACAAAATGCGTAAAACACAACAGGCAGAGAGGAGCTACCAGAATCAGCTGAAATTGTAAAGTTACCAGTGCTCAGACTATAAACCCTTTTGGATTTGCTAGCAGAGAGATTTATACCCACCAAGCACCCCCTTCCAGCTGCAAGCTGAGAGCTTTAGCCATAACTCCCACTTTATATGTGTGTGCACGAGTACTGCATATGAAAAAGCATTCCCTTCCCCGCTTCCTCTAAAAAGAAATCCTTTATTCCTAGGTGTAGAAGAATACCAAAAGATGTGTTTCTCACACTGCCCTAATTACAATTGATGTTGATGGGACATTTATCTGACTAAGGACCAAGGGACTTTGCTGCTGTAATCATGAAGTCAGCTCAGTTCAGCTCAGTAAATAACAATATACTCTTGTTTCTAGCTTCACAGTTTAAGGATAGACTTCGTTGGTTCCTGAAATCTACAAGAGGTTGAGTTTTGCCATTGAAAGCTTTGCCAGTGGGAGCAGGACTGAAGTACCAGAGTCCTCCAGATTACTGAGGCATGTGAATATTAATAATAATCAAACTGTGATGTGATATCAATCAGTGGGTTGCAGGTATTTTCTGTTTTTACTGTGCTGATAAACCGGTACAAAGCCCTTACATTATGTCATTATTTCATGCAGGGTGGTTTTCATTAACTCTAACGCACTTCACTTTTAGACATTTCAAATTCTTAAGTAATAGTCAGGAACAAGTCAGGCTGTTCACATTATTCCCAGACCTCGTTACTTATCTTTTTAATGTTATAATGCACTTTGCTAATTTTATTAAGTTATTTGTATAGCTTCTCTTTCAATGCATGTAGTCTCCATTTCAGTGCATGATATTAAATATAAAACTGAGTTGTATTTCTGGTTCAGGTGTGAGCAGATGTTCAAGGAAAAGAACTATTCATTTTCATACAATTCCTGTTAAAATATCATTTTGATGGTCTATGTTTATTTACTGTTCATCAGATCAGACTAGTTCAGCCTTCCAAGCTCAACTGGGATCTAAAATTAAGCTGGTCCTTTGCCTTCCATGCACCACTCAGCAGGAGTAAACGTTTTACTAATCAAAATCCCTCCCTTAATACAGCACCTCATAAGATTATACACTCAGTGGCATCTTTGTGTCTGTGCATTATGCATTATAATTTATTTGAACTTTGTTTACTGATGGTACAGAGACAAAACCGACTACTGTCTGTCTACGTGGCTGTGTAGTGATAACAGCAATAAACTCACGCTGAGTCATTTATTGAGCAGACTTGATTCTGAATATGTGCAGGGAGCAGACCTACTAAATCAAGTGCTACTTTTTTTCCATATCCACCCTGTAAAAAGACAACGGCATTTCACTGCGGCAACTTTCAAAGGTCCCACTCCACCGATTCCTGTGTGTCATTTTAGCTACCTAACTGAAGTGCCTGTGTTAGCAAACTAGTATTTTTAGCCTTCACCTTTAGTCAATGCAGAGAGAAACCCATCCTCAGAGCGCTAAGAAAAATACAGATTCTGAACTGCCCTCTGAAAAGATCTGTTTTTTTCATTGACTCTACAGGAAAACTAAGCTACTTACTTGGAATTGCTAATCCCAGAGGATAAAGTCTGATTATACAGCTTTGGTGTTCAAGCAAAACCAGAATTATTAAAACACATACAGGCATGTTACAGTACATGGATGACTTCAGAGATCTCTTACTGATTTACTTTTACGTTGGTTAAAAAAAAGAAAAAGAAAAAGAAAAAGAAAAAAGCAATCCTCCAGTGTGGCAGTATCTACAGAGTCAGAGAAACAACTGCACCCTGTTCCACTGCATTTTGGTACTAACACATCCATCAGGAAGAGCTCAGCACAGACTCTGGAGATCAAAACTCATAAAGTAGGTCTTCAAACAGCAAGACACTGCTCTACCAACCATGAGTCACACAACCCACTGAAGTCCATGCCAGTGATCCAGGCTAACTTCTGAGTACTGGCCAGGGGATGCAGAAAAGAGAGATAGATTGTCCTACCTTGATGGCTACAGAACACAACTGAAAGGAAGCACAACTGTGGTTCCAGACCAAGCTCTCTGTAACATATACACCTTTTACATTAAGCCATAGCTGCACAACAGCATTAACAGAACCATGCAAAGAATAAGAATGACAGGTCTTCTCTCCCCAGCTGAGCATCTGAAAATGCTGTATTTTGCTATCTGACATGCTATCTGAAAATGTTCAGATCTGAAAAACTGTATTTTGTCAAAGATGCACATTTTTCAGGAATTACTTTCATTAAAATGACTGTGATGTTGAGAAAAGGGAAACACAAAAAACATAATTTTCTTATTTAAAATAAAGCCAATATTTCAATTAAAATAAGAATAGGATAGCAGAGAATAGCTGTTCAGTTTGTTACTCAAGAGAAAGGAGAAAATGTTTTTTCTTTTTAAAGTATGGTTTTAATTGTGTTGCTAGGGCAACAACTAACCAACATGGTATTAGCTCACAAGCCTGAGTCTGAAAAGAATGAAATAAGGTTTGTACCCATATTTACCCCCGATTGAAATCAGAGATTTAGCTGTTTTCAGAAAATACAAAGGATTACTTTGATGTTAATTGATTTTTCACTACCTAGTGAACCATTTACTGCAGCAGAATAAAAAACAATGGGAAGAGACAGATGAAAAACAGAACTGTCCTGAAACTCTCAAGCAACTGGGCAGAAGCTCCTTAGTACTATCGTAAGTCATTGGAAAATGGCCTTGGGGTAAGAAAGAAAAAAATGAAAACCTGCTCTCTCTCAAAGAAGAAAAGATTACACAAATTCAGGGCCTCAGTTATCAGCATAGAGAAGAAAAAAAAGAGGAAAAGTTCCTAAATTATTCCTCATGCTACATATCATCCTCTTTGTATGATGCTTTATATACTTCTATTGGTTTTCTGTTAGCATCCTCCTGGGAAGGAGCCACCACAATGTGGCTGGAAGGAGAAATGGGAAGTGAGATGTCACAAGACACTTGCTCCTTTGAGATGACACAGAGCATGCACATCATCAGCCAGAGCTAACGAGGGAGGACAATCCCTTACTTTGGTAAATGTGCTCCTAGTAATCAATGAATACAACTGTAATAATGTCCCCCGAGAGGGGACATACGTGAGAGATATAAGATCCACCAAAGCAAGTCACCACCTATAGATCAAAAAAAAAATTGGAGTGCCCCTTTTTTACATGAACTGGAGGTAGATTTTGTCCTTTCAGCTGCAGTCTAATGGAGTACCACAGAATCAAAACAAATCAATGGACAGCAACAGCAACTACACTGATATCTAATGAGAGAGGCATTTCAAATGCTTTATCAAGGCTATGATTTGTTGCTTCCCCCCCTTCTCTGGCTCCCAAGTTATCTACTTGTCTTTGGCCCAAGAGTTCTTGAGTGTTACATGAGATGCAACCCATGCACAATAAAGAATAGCTGATTTAAGAGATAACAACATGTGGCTGAGCAAAAGGTTTACCAATAGCTAGAAGCACTTTTGGACAAATTAAGACTTCCTGGAGCACAGCCAGATAATTGTTTACATGGCCGTTGCCATACGTATAAAGGCACTGCTGGCGAATGGAATACTTAGGTTAATTGAACATGTGGTGATCTGCAAAGGTAGTTAACTCAACAGGAGACGTTCCTACTTGCTGAACTAGGCAAGTAATACTGAATTGAAAGAAAAGGAAATAGAAAACAAATTAGATGTGTTCTCTTCTTTATCCTTTGTTTTAATACCCATGGATGTTGCAAGGAGGGTTACAGTATGGTTTTGTTTGTTAATTTTTTTTTTACTTCATTCAGGATTGAAAGAGCCTTTATGTGATACATTTAAAATGCGGAGCAAGGAACGATTGAGACTTCTGTCTCTGTGGGAAAGAGGTCTTTTTTTTTTTCTAAACTGCCCATCAACTGTCAGATCTGTTAGAAACATTTCAAGAGCAACTGTGGCACTTTTGGAAGCTCATGGTTGTTTCATGAAGCATAAAACCGGAGATGGGATGAAACTGAACTAAGGTGCAGTGCTTTGTTCTGAGCTCAGTAGGTTGTTAATTTTTTTTCATATAGGGCATTGTAAGCTCAAAAAATTTACACTTGCAGAGTTTTCCTCTGATTGATTTTCTTTTAAGCAGGAAAAACATCTCTTTAGAACAGGAAAGGATATTAATTCTGGAACTATACGGGAGATTTTCCATCTGTCGAGAAACTTTCTGAACTTCTTCCTAGATTTTCATAGTGGCTGTTTGTCTCTAGCAGGATCTCAAATTCTTTAATATTGGAAAAAAAGGAGAGAATAATAATCATCTCGCATCAATTCTCAGCAGTTGCTGATACAGAATAATATTCGCAAAGGCCTGATAACAGGTTCTCGCTACCTGCCTTCCAGGCTTGCTCACTGGAAGGGCTTCTGGGTGTGTTGGAAGAACTTTATACTGCATCCTGCACCTTGATCATTCATCTGCCTGACTAGTGTGGGCAGCTGGAGCATATGGAGCTTATTTCTGAAAGAGATTGGATAAACTGGATTGCTTACAACTAATTCTTCTTTAGATATTTACAGATAGGTGATTTTCCAGTCTTTTTAGGTTTGAAAGGCATGTTAAACAGCTGCAAAAATTGATCCACATCAGGAAGCGTTTAAAAAGCTTTCATAGAGTCTTAGGCAGGCTCCTGAGCACCTCCAGCTCTAGGGAATTATGGTCTAAATAAAGCCTACTATCCAGTACCTTTTGCTCAGACATGTACAGCATGCATAGCAAGCCTGCTTTAATCTGTATAACCATGGAAGTGATTACCATTAAAAGTTCACTTTTTTCAGTGTTGATTTCAGAGGCTGGATGGTATTAGTTGAACTACTATCCATCTGTGGTTTGAGGTCATTGCAG